CTGACCAGACTGGGATTTCTGCATTCCTTCATTCAGCTGTAAAACTCAGGAGCCAGGTTCCCCACTGCTTGTTTATGTGCAAACCAAACAAACCCAAACTGAATTAGAATTCTTTGTGCACGGGAAAACTCTGGAAAGGAACAAGGGAATGCAGCAAACACAGTAGGTCTCTCTCTCATCCCTCAGGTTTGAAACCCCCTTGTTCAAGGGGGGTAATATTTGTGTTGTTTCCAATCCCTGAAATCTCCCTCTTCTGTAAAAAGGAGGAGTTTAAGAAATTTAGTGGCAGCAATTCTCAAAAGGTATGAGGCTTAACTCACCCACACAGCACTCTGTGAGTGTCTCTGGCCATGCAAAGGTGGCATCATCTCAGAAACAATCTGTGTGCAAATATCATTACTGAAATCAACCACCAACTGCCTGCTCAAACCAGTCTGTACCCCAAGTTAAAGGTGAAGCTCAAGTCCCTTTAAAATCTGAATAATAGTCAAAGAGTGAATTAGCAGTTGGGGTTCAAGTTATATTGATAGAACAGCTTTTTTGCACATAGTTTATGGAGCAAACATGAGTGACCTGCCTTTCAAAATATCAAACATTTCAGGCCTTTTCAGAGAGTAATTGTTCTATAAATTTCCCAACATGAAGAGATGCATGGTCTAAAATGAGAGGCACTGAGACAGAGCTCTGTGGAACAGAACTGCTGAAACAGCCACTCACTCCAGAAAATGACAAACCAGTATCTAGGACATACCATGGACAGTGATGATCCATTTTTAGCACACATCTGCAAAAGGACAAGAAGGAAAACAGCCCATGAGTTACTGGTTAACCAGTTAATTCTCACCAGATGTCACAATTTTTAGCTACTTAACACAGCTAAACGTGTAGGTGTGGAGCTGCCAGCACTTCAGGGCCACGTGCTGTGGCTGCAGCTGTAAGGGAGGTCCAGGGCTGCCTTTGTCTGTGGGAAGCCAGGGAAGGACCAGCCCGTTGACATAACTTAGTGGTGACTCTATTTGCTGCAGTGAAAACCCCCCCAGGAACTTACACAGCACAGACAGAACAGTGGTGACAACGGTCAGGTTTTATCAGCTGGCATCTGTCACAGAACCGAATCCCTGCAATTAGAGACAGGTTAGTAGCAAATAGCAGGAACCTGTTCTTTATTCTTATGTTAATTAATGCTCTGCTCGTTTCCTAACTATTCATAGTCCACCCTCTATCACTTCCAAAGCTGACTTTTTGCCCATATTCAGTAATTCTGGAGCCTTGCTGTCGTGGGGAACAACCCCCACTGCAAAGCACACAGCCAGCTCAAAAGTGATAAACTGTACATGTCCCTCCGGCTTCCACAGGTACTCAGGCTTTACAAATGGTTCATTTTGATAATTTCCTGTCTGGCATCTCTTCACTTCAGAATTCTGTGCCTCGTCTGACAGAAATGAAGAGGTCACAGCCTCTGCTGTGAAGGAGGATTTCTTTTCAGCTCTGAAAGGAGTGTGGTACACATTCAATCGCAGAGCAAGGTCCAGAAATCCATTCACAGAGTTCTATCCTGCATCCCAGGGCTGGGATCCATCTTCATTTTGTCTTTACTTAAAGACAACTACAGATTTTGCCATTCTATTACTATTGCTAAACAGAGACAAGAGAAGTAGGCTTTTCAACTGTCAGTACAAAGGGTAACATGCTGCTTCTCAAGGGCAGCACCTGGCACTCCACTGAAGATGCACGGAAGCGTTCAAGGATTTTTTGTTTCCCCAAACATAAAACCTGAGAGAAAAGGCAGTGGAATGATCCACACAGTTCCTCAGGGCACGCAGTGGCATCAGGAACACCCTGTTGGTGGGCAGCATTGTCAGTGCAGGCCACGTTAGCAGGTGCTCAGCTCACCTCCACTCCCTGTCCTGGTGTACACCGGCAGCTTCCTGGCGATCTCGGCCAGAATCTGCCTCTGCACCTCCGGCCTCTCCTCGCTCTCGTAGCGCTCCTGGTCAGCACAGGACATGTGGTACTAGAGGCAGAAGGCAAGAGAGGAGCAGCTACACATGGGTAGCAGAGATAATATTGCTAATTCAGGCAAATTTGGAAACGTTTCTACCTCCCACTCCTAAAGCGAAATAAAGTATCAGAGCACAAGAGACTAGATGGCTGCTACTGCTGCCTTAGATCACTGTTTGTCATTAATAACAGTAGCAACCATGAAAAGGACAATTTAAGCACTTCTCTTGTGAGCAAGAACCTGTCCCCAGCCACAGTTTTGTGTTTCTCAAACTGGGATTAGTTATTTATAAATGTACATTCTTGTAGTTAGGACCAGATGATGGCCATTTGTATTTGGAGTGCCACACAAACAGGAAAATCACGTTTGGAACATCAATCCCTGGGACACCTGAGAAGGCAGCTTTAAAATTAACACCATCTCTGATTTAAACCATGCTCTTTGGGGAGCTAAAGGATTCTCATGATGCTACATCACTCTGTTTTTAGGGACAACTCTAGGTCACTTCACATCTCTAGAGGAAATGTGATCAGTTGTCCAGCCCAGCTCAATGGAAGGTTTTCTGAGCTCTCTTTAGCACCCCTGCTTTTGTTCTGCAATGAATGAAAAGTGCCTGGGCTCTTTCTTACCTTTTTGCCTGGCTGCACAGGGAGAGTGAAAACTGACTTCCAGTACGTCCACACAAAGAGCACAAAGAGAATGTGGAACACTACAAGATAGGCCACTAAAAAAAACCAACAAAAACAAAACCACAAATAAAAACCAGAACAATGAGTTCTTACGCTAGAGAATGTGGAATACTACAAGATAGGCCACTAAAAAAAAACCAACAAAAACAAAACCACAAATAAAAAACCAGAAGCAGAACAATGAGTTCTTACGCCAAAGTTTCATTCCTGATGGACATAATTCCAATCTTTCACAACAATGGCAAAAATGTAAAGGGAAAAAGAAAGATTTACAGTTAAAATAGTATTAAACCTTGTGGGGAAAGGGTGGGTAGAATTTCAGAGATCTTTGGCTGCAGTTTGGGGTATGTCACAAGCTTCTCCTTCTCCACCTGATCCAGTTCCATGGGTGAGCAAGAACACAGCTATGAGACTTCACCCCCAGGGCAGGTGACAGCCCTGCACCCCTGGGGATGACAGGACTCCTGGGACAGCCCTGCACCCCTGGGGGTGACAGGACTCCTGGGACAGCCCGGCACCCCTGGGGATGACAGGACTCCTGTCTCTTCCCCATGTCCTAGGCACAGGTAAAGTAGAACTGGCTGGTGCTGAGCAGCATAAAGGTTGATATCACAGTACTCCAGCATCTCCACATTTTGGGTTCAGTTGGTACTAAATGCACTTGGAAGCACAGCACTGTGTTAGCAGCTCACTGTCCACTCATGCAATGCAGTCTTCACCACCTGGGAGAGCTGAGGAAAAGAGCTCTGGCAGAGCTTCACACAGAAAGAGATCAAATCTCTTTTTAAACATCATCATATTCCCCATTTCATTTGAGGTTCAAATTCTAGCAAAATTAGAGTAACTACAAGTGGAAAGAGAAGTCTAAAACCCAAAAGCTTCCTAACTTCTCAGGAAAGCCTTACTGTGTGGAAGGGAATTAGTAAAAAGGCCAAGCAGAGCTCTGAGCTTTCTACTGAGGTGGCAAATCACAGGGTGTCTTGGTTTGATCTGCTGTGCCTCACAGGGATGTGGTGGATTGTGTCTGACCTGTGAATCAACAACTCCTGCTCACATCCAGAGCTTGTCCGAGATGTTATCCTTACACCAGAGGCAGGTGGAGCTCAGTCACTTTTCAATTAGTATGGAAGGAGATAAAGGCTGCAGCCTGCTCAGTTTTGTTGCTAAAGCAGCACAGCAGCATGTCAGAGGAAGCTGACCTGCAGATGCACCAGCAGATTAGGAAACTAATAATGTTCTTCTGCTGAATAATCATTAACACCATGCTTTCTAGTTTCCTTGTAAGAGTTCTGAATATTAGGACAGCTCTCTAGTGGAAAGATGTAGCAATCTGGAGGAACTTTGAAGGATCTGCTCTTCATGGAACAATGTGCCAGCTGAAAATTACTGCACCTACTTCTGTCCTCCATAAACCTGCAAGAAGAATGGAAGGTAAGAGGCCATCTGTCTCAGGTCAGTGCCCCCACAGCACCTCCAAGAAAGGAGGAACACTAGATGGCCACTAATGCCTCATTCTTAGAACATGACTGCGGCCTCCAAGGACACCAGTGGAAAGTCTCATGAGGTGACTCTGCTGCTCTGCCCAACTCAAGCCAAATAATGATGAGACAGAAACCTTTGCTCTAACTCATCTGTGGTGGTACCTGAAAGCTCCTGTGTTACCACTCAATATGTGGTTAGTGGTCAACAGAGCCAAGCAAAAAAATCTTTTGTGCAAAAGTCTCCCTGCAAAAGGCCATAAAAATACCTTTCACTGAAAGACCAAGTGAAAGATGGGGAAAAAAACCAGGCAGTCTACAGAACAGAAGAGAACTAGTCTTTTCTGTTTAGCTTGTCAAATCAGCTTTGAAAATGTAAAACAGAAAAGTGTGTGGGTGTACACACAGACACACAGATTTTTCTGAAAAAGGGATCAAACCCTCTTCAGGTTCTTCTGCTTCCACTGTGACCCAACAGTGGCACTTCCCAACAGATCCCCAGGGCACAGTGTGTCTGGAATGCACACTGGCTGCCCCACAAGGGTGCAACTGCAGCCTGACAGAGTAAGAACTGGCAGACTGAAAGAACTGGAGGGCAGGAGGAAGCTGAACACACACATACCTTTCTCCACTGGGTTGCTCAGGGTCACTGCAAAAGAAAAAAAAACAGGTCTCCATAACAAATCAGATTCCCAGAGAAGTTTGTGACACATCACAATTCCCTCTGAAATGCAGCCTTTTTAGGAAAAAGGGTTCAAATCTGGCTGACAAAGAGAGAGCCCACAGTTTAGCATAAAATCCAAAGCATCCACAACCCCTTTACTCATGCAGGGACACCCACCACAAGATGTCCAGTAACTGCTCCTTATGCTGCATTCCCCCTTCTTCTAAAATGTAATTTGCACATTAAAAATGACAAAAATAATCCACTGGTGACAGTGATGGGAGAAAATTACCAGGGCTCCTCTAGTGACTGTCCAAGCAGCATCTCCAGGCATGGGCTTCATGTACCTGGAGCTGCCTTGTCCTCGTGGTGGTTCTGACCCTCCACTGCAAACAGCACCCTGCTGCATGTCTGCATCAGCAAAAATGACAAGTTCCAAATTGCCTCAGCTTTGGCCTGCTCAGCAACAAAAGATAGGCTGTAATGACTCAATGATTGACACACTTCCTACCAGCAGAGCATTCACAGCCCCTCCTTCCTTCACCATCATCATCAGAACAGTCCCTGCTGCCAGAACCACTGAGAGCAACCAGCAAAGGGCACATTACTCAGCAGCTACTTCTACTGATTATTTTTAAATCCACCCCTTATTTTAAAGGCCATCAAACAAGTTTAACAGAAAAGATAAAGACATCTTTCTTTAACTGCAAAGGGTGCAGTTCTGTGTGGCAGAACACTGCTTGGAAGACAAAGATTGTTCATAAGGTTGATAAATTCTGGCACTGTGAGGGTGGTGAGGTACTGGAACAGCTCCAGGGAAGCTGTGGATGCTCCAGCACTGGAGGGGACCCAGGCCAGGAGCAACCTGATCTAGTGGGGGGTGTCCCTGCCTGTGCAATGAGCATTGGAACTAAATGATCTTTAAGGTCCTTTCCAACCCAAACCATTCTATGATTCTATGACCCTTGATGGGTCAAACTTGGAAAACTGGGAACCAAGAGGTCCTGCTTTTACTAAAGAAAGTAGCTTTTCTTAAAACCATGCCAGCAAGCAGTTCTGATCTGCAGACTCTATGAAACACAACAACACAGCTGAAAAGAGACCCAGTGTCTGCTGTGCCTCTGCACACCCAGATGAGATGAACAAGACTGCTGGGAAACCTTCAGTTTTTTCTTCAGTTTGCTGCAAACCAAAGTACAAAGAGCACATCAGCTTTTCACCAGGGCTGCTTGGTCCCCTCCTGAAGCATGTCACACCTGCAGCACGGCCCTTCTGACAACTTTACCTGAGAAAAGAGCAGACTCCTGAATAAAGACTGTATAGAAGGTTGTACCACAGGAGACTGGGACAATGTTCTCTCTGTGGCACCACCCAGACATGAAATCTAAGCCTCCTCTGGAGCAGGACTTGCTGGCCACACCAGCCACTGAAAGGTTAAACCCCAGGATCATGAGATGCCTCCAGGACATCCCCCCCTCGTGCAACTTCCAATCCTCAGCAGATGAAAATCAAGAACCCAAACAGAGCACCTACTGTTTAAATGCTGACAACAGCTGAAGGGGCAGTACAGAATGGAAATAAAGGTGACCCATAAAGCTTTGCTATGTTAGAAATCTGGGAAAGGGAGAAGGCCCTGAGAGCTCATCTTCAAGCAACTGCATCTGCCAACAGTTAATGTTCAAATCCTAAAATAATTCCTTTAGTCAGTTCAACTTTTGTATGGCTGAACTCCTCCACACACAAATAAAACCTGTGAGAGAGAAAGATGGGGAGAAAAATAGATGGGTGTGGGCAGAGGAGTGGTTCTGAGCTGTGGCTGTAGGCAGTGGGATGAGCTCCTCCCAGCTCAGCCAGCACCTGCAGAGCTACACAGGCCCACTCCAAACCCCAGCTCCATCAGCAATCTGCCCTGAGAGCTGCCCTGAGACTGGGAACCAACCACTGCTAAATGTGACTTAATGTGCCCAGCACTGCAAGCAAAGCATTGTTCAAACAACTGGCAGTATTTCAAGAAAACACTCTCCATTTTTTGTCACATGGTCTCATTATAAAATCCTTCTGATTGGAAAAGACCTTTGAGATCATCAAGTGCAGCCATCCCCCCAGCACTGCCAGGTCCCCACTGCCCCGTGTCCCTCACCCCACATCTCCACGGCTTGGGAACCCCTCCAGGGGTGGGGACTCCACCACTGCCCTGGGCAGCCTGGCACAGCCCCGGGCAACCCTCAAGGGGAAGAAATTGTTCCTCTTGCCAAACCTCAACCTCCCCTGGGGCAACTTGAGGCCCTTTCCTCTTGGCCTGTCCCTTGTTCCTTGGGAGCAGAACCCGACCCCCCCCTGGCTCCAGACTCCTGTCAGGAGCTGTGCAGAGCCAGAAGGTCTCCCCTGAGCCTCCTTTGCTCCAGGCTCAGCACCCCCAGTTGTAACTGACAGTTACACACACCTTAGAGATAACTTTCCTTGTGGATTCTTGAAAGAGCAAGCACACAACCTCAGAGATGGAACAGCATGTCATGAAGTATTTGGGGTCTTGCCTAACTGCCAGTTAAAACAGATAAAGAAAGCTGCACTGCATTTTAGTCCCCATCAAGAAAAGATAACAGGTCTCACTGCATTGGCAGCCCCAAAAAACCTGATCTAATGTGCTGTGCAGCACCAGGAGGCAGCTCTTCTCACAGAAACGTCTCAAACTACCCAACTCTGTCTTTCTTCATGTGGCTTGCCCTGTCCTGAAGGGAAAG